TTGATGGTTGTTTATTAAAAATCACAGTGCAGTTCCTTCTCCTGCAGAGGAAACAGGGAGTTGAAAATAAGCCACTGCAGTTTCAAAGTGGAGGGGAGGTTTTGTTTTTGTTTTTGTTGTTTTTTTCTTCATCTTTTGTAAAGAACTTGTCAGCCAAATGGGCAGGTTGTTCTGTGACTCAAAGGCATGTCATAACAATGAAACAAATGAGGAAAGCCCACCCCAATTCACGTACTTTTGGGACAGCTATTAAGTAGTTTTTTAAAGCAGCATTGGGTAAGAGAAAGCTATTTCTCTTTGCTGAAAACATTCTAATGACAGTTTACTGCAGTGGACTATCAGCAACATGCTGGCAGTGCCACCTGAATTTCAATTTCTTAATTTACAGCACAGATAAAATAGAATGGAGCTGGATCTCTGCTGCTCTCTACACGGGGCTGGTCTTATCAAGCGTGAAGTTTGGCGCATTGCAAACCTATTCAAGTGATTATCTGTTGAGGACCTCTTGAGCCATCTCCATCTCTGCAGTGTACTGATAAGACAGCTGTTTCTCTAGCTGCAGTGTCTCTCTGGGCCTCAGTCTTCTTTTAGTACAAACTACGGCTTTGTTACTGTGCCCTGGTGCTGTCACTTTCTCTGTTGTGCAAGCCTTTGATCTGAGCACAAAAGAGGTCAATGGAAGCGATTGACTGCTGGTTGACACAGTCTTATTATTTTATAATTAAACGTGTATTACATACCATTGGAAATAAAAATCTTCAATACAAGAAGTTACCCAAGCTATGGGGCAGCAGAAATCTTTCTGCTTGCAGGTCACAGTAGGAAATAGGCAAAGATACAATAATTTGAATGAACAGACAGTTTATTTCAGGTACTATTTTTATCTGGATTAAGGTTCCACAATTGACTGTAGAAATCCAAGCAGCTGCTGATACCTCGTGTGGAACTGAGTTTTAGGAGACTCTCCAACGAAAAAAGGAAAATATCCCCCTTCCCTCCACCCCGTCCCAAGAGGAACTTCTTTTTAAAAATTAGGTTTTATTAATACTCAGACACTGCTGCATTATAGGGCAGAGAACAAATATAGCAGCATCAGCTGCAATGTTCATACTGTCGTAGATTTACAATAGCCCTATCTTACTACTGCAAACTGTCTCCAGAAGAAAAAGGAGGTAAAACAATCCCACAGCTGTACCGAGGTACAGGTCTGTTTTGTATCAAGAAGTGTCTGTCTAAAGACTTGCTCTGAAAACCTCCCTGCCTGTTACTGCTTATTAAAGTAACAGGAACAAACCCAAGCTTGCACTGTAAAAATGACCTGTATAGGCCCTTATGTAGGCCAGTAGCTCCTTTCAGTCCCCTGCGTCTCTTGTGAGAGTACACTGTCACACATGACCACCCCTAACCAGGAACCATTTGCCTGAAGTGCCTTCGACAGACCAAGCCCACCGAGACATCACACATACCTTTAAGGGTTTTTTTTTTCCTGGAGAGGGGGGAGGAGAGAGAAGGAGGGAGGTAAATCCCCGTTTGGCGCGATGCTCTTCGTCGCTGCTGTGCAAAAAGCAGGCATGCAAGCAAGCGGCCGGCACCGGGGACTCAGCCCCTGCCTCCGCAGCAGCGCCT